AGTAAGCACTAACCACAAATAGGCAATAATATTTCCATATAACTGACAACATTAAGTGTATGAAACGCTCATATAAATCAATATTTAAAAGATAAACAAACCACAATTAAAACAGCCATTGATTTGGATAGGCACTTGAAAAACAGAAAATCCAAATAATGGGAGGGAAGTGCACGGGACTATAGTGATGGCACATGGGTGGCTCCCTGATGGGAAACACTCGGGGATTACAATTGAGATTTAAAAAAAAAATGTACAAAATGATATAAAAATAAACTATTATATTAAAAAAAGAAAGAAAATCCAAATAAATGAAAAGTGAACAATTTCATTAATATTCAGTAAAGCAAATTAGAACCATAATGAGATATGCTTACACATGAATTAGACTGGCAAGATTTAAAGACCATCATCAAGCATAGGCACACATTTGAAACTACAGGCAGTCATACACTGCTCTTGGATGTATAAATTGGCACAACAAATTTGGAAAACAGTCTGACAATTTATTATAAAATTAAGTGCATGCATAGTTGGCAATTCTTCTTCTAAAACCAAACTATGGAGAAATCCTTACATGTGCACTAAAGGAATATGTAAAAAAAAGAAAAATTCAGTTTAACTATATATATATATATTATGTATATGTGGATATGTGTGTGTGTGTGTGTACATATATATATATGGAAATACTACAAATTTTCAGCCACAGTGGAGTGAATGTATAAATATTTTTGTAGATTCCTATAATTAAAATTAAATGACTGAAAAGAGAGGAATTGAAGCTGTACAGGTCAATATTCACAAATATTTGCAAAAGAAGTCCAGAATTCACACATAACTCCTTTTAAATAAAATTGGAGAGCCATTTAAACTAGAGAATTTTAAAGAATACATATAGATTGTAAGGAAAAGCATTTGATGTATAGAGTATCATAGGACAGAGTATCAGAGAGATAATATCTGTAAGTGAAAACATAGAAACTTCTAAATTTCTGGTAGTGTTCTATTTCTTACATTAGTGCTGTCAGATAGGAGTGTTGATTTTATTTTTCTTTAAATTAAACATTAACTAATAGATGCTTTGTGGAAAGTGATTCTAAATTAAAAATTTTAATAAGTTTTTCTAATTATTGATTTAGAATGTAAAATGTCTTTAGAAACTGAAAACCTCTACTAGAGTGTAAATGAAAGTCTATTTTGCATAAGAAGTCTGTATTTTATTGTGACTTTAAAGTTATACTTGAATAACATGCTCTCATTACATTTATTCTGTTCCCTTTAATTACTATCCATTTTTAGAATGGATAAAGGAGATTTTTTAAATGAATGTAATATAAGTGCTGTCATACCATTATTTTGTCACAAGAGGGACTATACAGTCAGAAAATATAGTTTTCCCTTTTGGTCTTATGTTAACATTTGCTTCACACATGTGTATCCTTGGCCATGTTTGTGTTATGCAATGTTTATGTGTCATAAATATTTCCTGTCAGCAAAAAATGTTAACATAAGTACTTGCCATTTTTTTTTTAGTAGATACTTAAATGCTTGCTTAAACTTACTGAACTATTATAATTTTTGGTTTACCTATTTTATGGAAATAATTGTTTTCTTTATATGTTAATCTAAATTTTTTAAATGCTGAATGATATTTCATATATTTTATTTCTCTTGATTTCAAAATACTTGCAGCTATACAACCAACCCCAAATTTGATATGATAAAGTAATTTACGATAAATTGCTAGGAGAAAAATATGTATTACCTACTTCATCCACCTGACTAATGGGTACCAAGCTTTCCTCTAAGGATCCTAAATGTTTCTGGAAGATATTTTGATTGCAATTATGCACTAAGAGGGGTCCTCCTTTACTGAAACAATTCTTCACTAAAATTTTATAGATATTGCTCTCCTTTATAAAATTTCATTTGCAGAAATAACTGTTTGAAAACCACTAAACTAAACAGATAGGAAAGAACAGTAACACCAATTAAAAAGTATAAAATGCTGTTTATTTTTTCAAGTAAAATATGAGCTTTAACAAGTAATGTATGACTGGTTTACCACTGTATCCCCAGTTCAGAGAACAAACATATATGGTTGTGCATAAAACAATCAAACTTTGCTTAATAAATAAATTGCTTAGAAAATGTGCTGCTTAATACATAAATAAATAAATGAACTTTCCCAGATAATCTGAGCAGATATTTGGATTTTATACGAAAGGTAAGAGAAGCTGAGACTCATAACAGACTTACACAGGTTCATACTATCTATAAGTAAAAGAATCAAAGAGTATTATTCAAGTTTTCTATCTCCTTGGTCATAACACTTTCGGATCAAAATCTGGGGGAAAGGAGGGAAGGCTGCATCAGAGAATGAGGAATGTAAGACAGGGGGCGGGGGACAGTTTATTTTGTTTTCCATCATACCTCTCACTTGCTTTATTTAGCAAGAAACATAGAACAAAAGTAGCAACAAGGAAAATATTACATTTTTGGAAAAATACTTTGTTAATATGGATCAGTGTTCTAATTGATAATACCACACAAGACCAGCATATTTCTCTTTTTAAAAAGTAAAAGTATTTTTCAAGGGCATTCAATACAAGCATAATAGTACTCTTTCCTCCAGCTGTCATTTCCTTCCCCTTCTCACCAGTCCTTTGAAACACCTGGAAGGGTTGATTCCTCACTTCCTCTTCTCATCTGTCTGGGACTTTCCCCTGAGCCCATGCTGACGTGGCTTCCTCCTCACTCCTTCCCTGGAGTTATAATGATGGTAGTCAATGAAGGAATTTAAGGACTCACATAATAAAAGTTCCAATTGTTTAATCCTTTTTTATATATATTTATCACATTACATTTAGACATTATCCCCAAATCATATGAACAAATGTATTCATGTTTTATTGTTACCATGTTAATGTATCACAAATTTCTGGACTTAACATAAAATTATTATCTTCTAATTCTGTAAGTCAGAGTTCAAATATATCCTGATTAGTTTTATTTTAGAAAACTTTCCTCATCTCCCTCTCAGATAAATGCAGTCATGTGGTTGTTTGTTAGGCAATAGGAGGCCTCTAAACTTTCTCCTGCATGCTTCTCTGTGCTTAAACTCTTTTGCCTTATCTGCCAGCTGGATCTAGAAGGCAAAAGGTTACCAGGCTGTACTCCTTAGTGCAGGCTCCAGGAAGGGGTTCATGTCCTGCACATTCAGGTTGTTGACATAATTCAGTTCCATTTAGTTGTAGAGCCAAAGTCACCATTTTCTTTCAATAATTCCACCATGTCCCTTGATCTATGAAGCTTTCCTTCATCTTCTAGGTCATGAATGGTGGGGCATGTTCTCTTTAGACTGCAGTTCTGTGACCCACTCTTGTTTAGCCATCTCCTACTTCTAAAGACTCCTCAATTGTGCTCACTCACAGTAATGTCACCTCAAGGTCCTTAACTTTAACCTTATCTTCAGTCTCACTTGCTATGGAAGTTTGCATGATTACAGAGTGCGGATTACAAGACATGCATGTCCTTGGATGACCATTATTCTGACTACCACAAGGGAAACACTACTTAAACTAAGAGTCTGTAGATTTATTTATGTGAATAAAATATAGAGAACACTTTTTATTCTATAGCCTTTATTTATATTCCCCTGTGACTTTTAACCATTAACTTTATGCCAATTTTGTGTTTGATTATCAAGTTGAAAGATATGTAGTATATTGAATATCAAGAAACCCAGAAGGACAAACAAGAGACAAAAAAATAAAAGTACAAGTCATAAATATAAGCATATAAGCATATAAGATAGGTTACAGAGAGGTAGTATAAATATTGCTTCAACATATTTTTCTTCATGATCAAACTGTTGACTCAAAGACAGTTTTATAAAATGACACATAAAATCAAAGCACATAACAGTGACTGCCAAACTAAGGGCAAGACAAAAAAAGAAATGGATGTGAAGTCATAGGGGAAAAGTGGTACTAGATTAAAAACATAGTGTGGCCCCGTCCTGTAATATTATTTGACGATAAACTCCATTATCAGAGTCAATGCCTATTTTTATCATTCTGATATGTACAGTACTGAGCACAGTGCCTGCCATGTAGAAAGTACTAGATAAATAAAAATTACCTTCAATTCAATTGTATAAATACAATTAATAAATTATTTAATAATTTAAATCAATTATTATTTACCTAATAGTCCTATGACATGACAGTTGATTTTTTTAGTTGATTTCTAGTTTGATACCTTTATATATACCACATATTTTTTTAATAATATAACAGTTTATTTTCACACCATTTTGTACATCTTTTTTTTCATCTCAATTGTAATCCCATGGGTTTCCCATGTGCCATCACCAAGTTTCTTCTTTTTAAGGGATAATTTATATAGCACATAAGCTGAAAACGCCTCCAGTATGGTTTTGCTTATTTCATTTAAATAATGACACTTTTTTTCCTAAACAACATTTGACACACAGACTAGATACACATAGACCATTACACACAAAGATTCTTTATATGAAATTTGAGTGAGGACATGAACACATGGTTTATCTCACTTTCAGTGTTGGCTTCAAGCTCTTTCTCACCACCACTCTTACCCAGAAAAACCACTCTGAGGCAAACATAGGGGAAAACCATTGACCTAATTCAAGTCTTACTCAATTAACAGGGAAATGCACCAAAATCTGAAGAGGCAAAGGGATTTACCCAAAAGAAACATTTAGCAGATCCTTGTGTTAATAAGATCTGACTTTCTGGGGCTGCATGTTTTGGAATAAGGTAATATTTTAATGAGCCTCAGATGCAAAATAGAAGTAGTAGTACCTACTTTGACAGGTATAGTCAAAATAGAAATAGTGGGTAGACAAGGAGTGGATGCTAATGAAAGCCAAAGCCTCCAAAGCTACATGAAATAAAAAAGCAAAAGTAATAACATGAACCTTAGCTTACATATGTTCTCCTGATTTGTTTTAGGAAAGCAGTAAATCATCCAAAAAGGCGATTTGGTATGCCCATTGATCGGATTGGTGGAAACCGACTTTCAAATTCCAGAGGTTAATTGATCCCAATCGTGAGTACAATTTGAATAAGTAAAGAAAGGAAATATGTTCAAGCTTTTGATTAACATTTCATAAGGGAATAATTGATTCACCTTATAAATCCCCCTTATGATTTTCAAATATGTTTATACTCAGTATATTGATGCTAAATAATTAAATGACATGAAGGACACAAGAAGTGTTCTAGATTTTTTTTCACCCCAAAAAGTGATTTTGTTACTTTCACAGACTTCTATGTAATTATTGAATATTAATATGAAAGTAAGGATTAAAATCTAATGAATGTAACAAATCACCTTGATGAATATACATAAGTGCATAACAATCCCTCTGTTAAGAAGATACACTATTGTAGACCAAGTCCACTTGTTCATCATTTTTAGCTATTAAATGAAATAAATGTTTACAATGACAAATAAATGTTTCCAAAGTGATGATGTCTCAATCTTTGTTGTGACATTTGAATCACCACAGAATAAATAAGCACCAGAAAAAAATTGTGTAAGATATTTTTGTTTTCATATTAAAAATATGAAATATCAATAATTTATAAAAAAATACAATATAATGACACATTATCATTTTGTGGTTGATAATACCAGAATTATAACGGAATATAGGAAAGAGAATGATGTAGAAGTAATTAGACATGGAATTAAGATAATTAATCCAAATCCTGATTCTGTCATTTTCTTGTTTCTATCACAATACTTCATTTTTCTCTATATTTTTCATGTATGTAGACAATAACATAGTGGTATATTGAAGCTTAAATTAGATGCTTGTAGTTCTAGAATGTGACACACAATACATGCAATGATAACAGCTTGTATTACAGTTCTGAGTTTTCCTCTGCCTTATTTATTCATCCTGTTTGATAAAGTAGATACTATTACTAGTCCAGTATCTTGAGAAGCAATATTAAATAAGGAGAAAAGGTGTCAGCTGAAGAGGTGTATCTTTGTGAGTCAAAACCCAGGTCATCTATCTATTAACTAGAGACCCTTGCTGAAATTCTGAAGTCCTCCTCCATAAAATGAAGATAATAATTATTTCTAGCACATAAAATTTTCCTGAGGAGGGATTGAATTGGGACATAGTAAGTACTTTAAATAGTTGTTGGACTACATTAAATAGTCAATAGCATGATTAATATTATACAAAGAAGTAAAAACTTAAGCATGTTAATTTACAAAAACACATAGGTAATGAATGATGCAGGTAGAATTCAAATGCAGAAAAATTAAATCCTGTCTTTATATTTCTTTAAAATTTAATCATACATACGTACATGTTTTAAACACTAAATGTTGAATATAAAATCTAGGCACTAAATATCCTTCCAATATGACTTACAGAGGGTACATTCTCCCTCTCAAATAAGACAACCTTGACTATTGCCTACCTTGCAAATTTCAAGTTACTGAAGAGAACTCTGCTTTCTGTTATTCTCAAGTTGAACTCCAGCTAAGGATGTGGAGGCTGAAGTAATATATTAGCCTTGACCCCATTTTAATTTAAATCATGTCATTCCCTCACCCCTATGTTCTAAAACACAATGAGAAGTCAGTATTTTCCCTGGTTTTTCTCACTCTCAGAGTGACAGGAGTTTTATTGTCCATGGAGAAGTTAATTAATGAAGTTCAAAGCCACCAAGCATTTATAAACATTGGAAACATAGTAGATACAGCCAAGAGCACTATTTTTTGAGCAACACCATTTTCAAAATTCAGATTAAATTTTCCTTATATCTAGTAATATACCAAGTACAGTCACTCTTCCTGATAGCTAAAAATCACATTATTTTTGTATATAAATTAATTGCTACTAAAAATAAAGCAACTCTTTCAAATAAGGGTCACAATCCTCTAGCTTCTCGATGTCATAAGAACAACAAAACATTAAGATTAAAATAATGAGGATTCTATCATGTAGGAAATTCATTTTTCATATATATCTTCATAGGTGATTTTAGATCATGAAAACTGTGAATAGCTACTAACCTACAAAAAGGGATTTGAATTAGTATATGCTTCCTGAATCACTATTGGGCAAAATCTAAATTAATTTATTATGGCCTTCACTTAAAGACTTTGCTTAAAATGATGACAATCACTGCCTTTTTTATTGAAATGGCAAGAAAATCATATCACAAAAGAATAGGCTTAGAAAATGATTTAATATCATATTTTCTTTTCTTTCACTTTTGTCAATTACTGGACTACTACCTGCTCATCCACTATTTCTATTCATTATTTCCTGCCACTATCAGCAAGATTTTTCAGGTAAATTTTTTTTTTACTTCCTCATGTGAAGCTTCCTGTTTTCCAGTTTATGAATAAGAAAAGGCTTAAAATATATTTCAAATATATTTCTGTTCAACTTTTCAAAATTACTGTCTTGTATATTATTTCTTATTGTCACAGTATACTTTTGCATTATAAAGGGACTATTATCAATATATCATCTTAGCAATATCATGTTAGCTATAAGCTAACAATTTTAGAGTTAATGTTCACACAGTCATGAAGCTAAGTGGTAGGAGATTCAAGAACTTAACATCTCATTTAATACAAACCTATTGTCTTTTTGTATCATTTTTTTAAAAAAAAATGAAGCCACAGAGACTGTGCAAACAAATTTGATTCACCCTAAATCTTTCAGATTCTCAGAGCCAAGATGCAGTATCAGATTTCTGAAATTTTAAACATACATATTTTTCATGACCAGTAAAGTTTTGTTGGTACTAATCTATCATTGCTGGATGATAATTTGACTGGCTTTACATTTAAAAAAAAAAAAAAAACAGAAACAGTATCTTAACCTTTATGAAAATTTTGTTTCACTTCTGTAGGAGTTGATGCTTTTTTGGTGCAGGTTTATTTATGGGTTTTTACATTTTGGGTTTCAATGTAAGTTTTCACAGCAAAAGTGAAACTGGTATCTAATTGTGGAAGTTTTGCTTGGCTTATGGCCAAAACTAGATACAGCTTCTGCTGTGTTACCTAGTTTCCAGAATAAATGTGCTTCCTTAATCTGTGTTTTGGAAAGCAATATAATCTGATATTTATACCATGTCTTCCTTAAATATTTAACATATTAAACCAAAGTTTGGAGCTTGTGCTACCCTAAATTCTAAACTATCTAATTCAAAAGGTATCTGTCCAAGGTTTCACACATTCTCTAGATTTAATTAGCAAGTAGTAGGTCTTTGCTTTTGAAATCAGAAAGCCTACTTGCTGAAATTCCATAGAAGCAGGACCATTAATTGCCCTACCCCTTGCTGCCATATGTATTAAGACTTTCCTTTTGATAATGTAAGGAACACATTGCTGCTTTATGCTAACAGTGTTTATTTTAGAAAAATATTGACACACCATCATACAAATACCTGCTGAGAGAGTAATTCTGAAATAGCAGAAATAGCCTGTTTAAATGCCAGTATAAATGGAAGCTCCAAACATCCTTAGAACCAAAACTGAAAATTTAAAATAAAATTAGAATAGAATAGATACCCAAAGAAAGGAAGTGTAGATTGAGCACAGGTACCTAGCTTGTATGCTAAAAATGCTCAATAAATTTATTTCTGAAATTATTATTTTGCATTGTTATCCTCACAATGAAAACAAACTACATAAAGACTATCAGAAACATATCATGCAATTCAAATTTTAGCTCATTTCAGCTGAAGTTGAGGGTTCCCCCCATTTACAAAGTTTTTATCAGCTTTAAAAATTTCAACATTCATTTTTGCAGATGCAGCTACCTTGGATGAAAGGTCACAGCAACTTGAAAGATGCTTCAGTGAAGTTCCTCACACTCCTTAGCAATTTAAGGAACTGACCTTCTGCAAATCCTCTCAAAGATTGAACTTCCGTCCATCACATCACAGTGTGGTTACACCTTCAATTAATTTAAACCAATTTCTTCAATGCATGGATTTTTAATTACATATGTTAATCATTTAGGAATGGCTTATTTTACCCAAAATTTATCTTTCTAAAAAACAAGTACAGCAAAATGCTTTCTCTATGTATTTACCACTTAACCTTTACACAGTTGAAGAACAACTCAAGACTGATTTGTCCTGTAAAATTTAGATACAATCTGTTCGTTATTGGGGAACAAGAAAAGACATTGCAGTATATTTTCTCCTGAAGGTTTGTACTTACCTTTTGTGAACCTCTTAAGGAATGATTATGAAATGAGGTTTGTCTTATGTTCAAATTTTAGTCAGTCGCAACCAACTCTAGCACAGTCTCAGTTTCAGAAAAAGAAAGAGGTCAAAGAAGTCTTGAGCAAGGAAAAAGCAACAGTAGTAATGGCCATATATATTTTTTTCTACCAAAGAATTGAGGAATGAACAAATAAAGGATATTACTCACTTTTAAAGGGTGGAGAGATCACGGCCCCTAGCATCTAGCCATTGCTCTAAATTAAAATTGATAATTAAGAGCAACAGTAGCTGATTATGAAGGAAACAACTACACATAGAAATAATAACTGAAAGTATGGGGGAATTCAGAGAATTACCAAGAAGTAAACCACCAGATCAGTCTGGGGCCAGTAAGCCAGGCAGAATTTTAGCACCAGATCATAAGCCATCTTTTTTTATGTTACAGACCTACCTAAAACACTGTTTAATGTTTATGCATACACTGTGTTTAATAAGGATTTACAGAATATTTTGTACTTGGGGATGGTTTCTTTAAAATGATTCAAATTATTGTTAATTTACCTATCAAATACAAGATTGATACTCTAGAAATCACAATTTTCAGCAACCATGGCGATGTTACTCTGAGTCGGGCAAATGAAGCCCACTGTGCTTTGGATATAATTTTAAAGCACAAAGGTGACTCATTCCTTAGAGATGTAATGTTAGTTAGCAGAAATTTATAAAGCCTCTTGAAACCCTACTGATCACTTTCAAGAGACAAGTTAAGTGGGAGGAGAAAGTTTGGCCAGCTAAGCAGAGGTTCATTTTAGTATATAAAGA